ATGACTATAGTATACTACAAGTTCTATAGTCATGTATAGTAATATGTAGCCATGACTATATATGACTACATATGACTGTAATATATGACTATATATGACTGTAATATATGACTATATATGACTACATATGACTGTAATATATGACTATATATGACTGTAATATATGACTATATATGACTACATATGACTGTAATATATGACTGTAATATATGACTATATATGACTGTAGTATATGACTATATATGACTACATATGACTGTATATGACTAAATATAATTGTATATTCACCTGACTCAAATCACCCATTTAAACATTTACATTATAAATCAACTCATAACCAACAAAATAAAAGTTACAGATTAGCTACCTTAGCCAAAAAGCTACAAATCTCCCAATCATTGCCCCAAAATCAAAACAAAAACACCAAAAATTCAAACTCAATGCCACTAATTGTTACGAAATAAAAAATATTTATAACAAAAATCATTTATAACAAAAATAAACAACATAAGAATCAAACGAAATAAAAAATCAAATTAATCCAAAGAAAAATATTTTAATATTAATTATTCACAGATCTTAAAAAATAGTAGATCTAATTTTAAAAATAATAGTAGATCTAATAATGAGACAGCTAATTAATTAAATCAAAATGATAATAATGTGAGGATCTGATCTGAGGAGAATAATGAATAATACAGAAGAAGAAAGTGACCTGTGTTGATCTATGTGGTTGGATTTGAGAGTGTATTTGCGGTAATTGGTATCAATATTTTTTTGTAGAGGAGCGGCGGCGGCGCTGCGAGGTAGGGGAGTGGCGACGGCGGCGTTGCGAGGTAGCGGAACGGCAACAACGGCGCAGCGAGGTAGGGGAGCGGCGACGGCGGCACAACGAGGTGGGGAGCAGCGGCGGCGGCGCAACGAGGGGAGGGAACAGCGGCGGCGACGGTGGACTGTGGGTAGAGCGAGAGTTAGAGAGATGAAGAGAGAGAGAAAGGGAGAAAGAGAGAGAGAGGGGGGATAAATGTCGGCTGAGAGATGTGGGAGTGGGAGTGGGAGAAAAGGCTAGGGAGTTAGGGTTTGAATGAAATTAAAAGGGTAAAACAGGTATTTTAATTTATCTAGGGGGGTCTATCAAATTAAGATTAGAATTCGGGTTTTTGACTAGAAAAGAAAAATCAATAGGACTTATCCATATATATTTTCAAAACTAGGGGGTTATCCCTCATTTCCCCAATAAACTTATGGCTTGGCAACTGGTTGCATTGTTCACATAAGTTCATAACGCGCAGTTCATAATGTGTCCGCGCGCACTGTACTAAATACCTTTTGTTAAAAAGAATATGGGTATATCTTTATATATAAAAGTAAGAAACGTTATGGCAAGTGGCAACTCTCACCCTAACGGAAAATTAAAATTAATGGTTATTTTTATTTGTATTTTTCATCTCCTATTTTTCATCAGTATATCTCAAGAACTGGTTTTGCTACTTTAAAGGAAACAAACAGACCAGAAAAATAAAAAATAAAAAATAAAAAAAAAATCAATGCCGGAAACCGGTGAAAAAATCCGAAAGGAAAAAAAATCGAAAAGTCAATGCCGGAATCCGGCAGCAAAAAAAATTTGAAAAACAAAAGTTTTTGAAAAAAAAAAGTCAAATTGGATTTTTATGGTCAAAATTGAAATTTTGTGGACAAAATTGATTAAATTGGGGTTACAATTAAGAATTGAGTATAAAGATTTTGGGGTAATATTGTCATATACATGAATGTTTCCTTTATCTTATATATAAAAGAAAGAAACGCTAGACAAGTCTAAAAAACTCTAATGGTATTTCTGTAATTATTTATTTTTAATATTTTTTCTCTACTAATCTTTAACTATAATTTTTAACAATTATTAAAATTAAAACTAACCCGTGAAGAATTCTACCTTACTGCTACTTATGTAATTATTTATTTTTAATATTTTTCTGTAGTAAATTTTTAACTATAATTTTCAACAATTATTGATCTCCTAATTTTTATCAATGTATCTCAAGTGATAAGAGATAAAGCTAGAAATTCATATGAATAATACTACATTATTAAATTTTATTATATTAGGTATTATATTTTTTTATTATGTATTAAATTGATTATTTTTTTTCACTATTTAAATAATATCTCGTGTATCGCACGGGGGAAAATGTTAGTTTATAATAAATATTAAAGGGATGGGCTTATTGGTGAAAGAGATATAACCCCTAAACCTAGAATAATAAAGATGTTTGGTTGGGGGCTTATGCACAAAAACCCTATATTTAAATTTTATTCTTTTTACAATACATATTTTTAATAAAACGAACAAAACAGAAACTTTTATCGAAGGAAAAAAAAAATCATTGTAATTAACTTTTAGCAAATTCCCCTTGTCCTCTCCACCCTCTCCATCAAACACACTCAAATCAGTAAAACAAATTAGCTCTAGTTTCAATCTTCTATGTCGCACATAAAATTCATACAATTCACCACTCTTTTAGGGATGGCAATGGGTAAGAGTTTGTCAGGTCTTAGACCCGAAACCGATCTTTATGTTTGGGGCCGATATGGGTAAGTTAAATGATTTTGGATCGGGTAATGGGTTTAGGTTTCTAGAACCGGACAGTTCTAGGTCAACTTACGAGTCTTACTGAAACCGACCCACAACTAATCCGTATAAATATATTATATTTAATAGTTAATCTATATATACAAATTAATTTTGGATTTCATTCATCAAACTTCCAACTTTCACCGTGTCTATTTCATTTGTCAATTTTCCCGTTTTCTTTTTTGAATCTTGTTACTCGTAAGTTATATCTATCAAACTTGTCGACCACCGCTAGCGCTAATCATCTTGCATTTGCACTTTTTTTATTGTAGAAGTTAAATATATATAATTAATTATGTAATTTTATTATTCACTTTATATCACGTTTTCAAGTTTTTTTCCAAATATTGTATTTTCATTTTGAGATTTTTTTGTTAAAATATACAAGCAAAATATTATGAAAGTTAAAAAGTATTAATTTTTTTTATGTTAACCGGTCTAACATGTAAGGGCGGGTCAGAACCGTTTAATTCGAGTATGGGTTGGGGTGGGTCCTGATCTAAGCTAAAACAGGTTGGGACAGTTTTGGGTTTTTTATATTTTTCGCAGATCGGGTCTCGGGTTTAGGTATACATGCCCCATAACGACCAATTGCCATCCGTTCACAATCACATTTTTACTTACTTTAAATAATTTAATATAAATACCCCAAATAAAAAAAAAAAAAAAAAAAAAATTGGCTCTTTGACATAAACCCTCAAACATTTCATTAAAGAAAAATGCCTAAATCATAATTCACTTTTTGAGATAAACACGTACCCCTTTCAAGATAAGAGGGGTGAGCGGTCGAGCTGGGAGACGGATTGAAAAAAGGTGGGGACCATGAAGAGGTCACGGAGGTTGCTGCAGAGGGAGAAGGCGGAGCGGATGGCGAGCTCGACGGCGTACCACTTGCTGCAGACGAGGGCGGTGGAGTTACGGCCGCGGACGTGGAACACAACGACGATTATGTTTTTTCGCGAAATTTGGATTTGACTAGACGCTAATTGACTATGTTTTTTGCATAGTCAATTAATAAATCAACTATATTTTTTATAGTCGATTTATTATTTTTAGGTCTAATATATGCTTTAATATTTTAATCAACTATAGTCGATTAACATATCGACTATGCAAACAGCATAGTTGATTAGCGTCCAGTTTAATTCAAATTTCGTGAAAAACATAAAATTAATTAGAAAATCGCAAAAAAATATGAGGGGGTTTTCTCAAATTATTTTTTTAAGAGATTCTACCTCATAAGATTTTTCTAAATGAAGGGACTCTTGCTAATTTTTCCCATTTTTTATTTAAACACCCGTGGAATATTATCAGCCTCCTAACCAATAAAGGAAACAAAAAATAAAATAAATAAATAAAATAAGATTTGGTCCATTGATGGCTATGAGATACTATATCCGGTGAAAAGTATCGGGTAATCATGAACCATATTATATATTTATAAAAATAACTACTCACTAGGCACATATACATATAAGTGCGTGCAACTAACTATGTGTAAATTAATTGTGCAGGATTATCCGATGTAGAGAGGACTATCCGATCATGACGATGGGTAATTTTAAACCATCTATTCTCTCATTTAACCAACAAACTTAATAAATTACTATCTTTGTTCTAGAAAATTAAAATTACACCATCCCAAATTTCCTAAATTGCCATGCTTAGCTACTCTTTCTATTAGAGAAAAACAAAATCTATCCAAACATTTTGTTTTCTCTCCCAAACTTTTTTCCCACCACCAAAAGAAATCATTCAACCATACCACATTAAATAAATTAGGGTTTCCATGTTTTGATTCTTATCCAAAGTATATAGTTTTACTTACATCTTCATATTTGGTTTTGAAAGAAAAATAGAATTTCCTTCACATTATATATATATATATATATATATATATATATATATATATATATATATATATAATTGAAAAATAAAAAAAAACAACAAATTAAAAAAATAAAAATAAAAGAAACCCATAAATTGATCAGGAATTGAAGTCCTTAAATTAGGATCAACAAAGTTTAATTTACATCCAACACCAAATTTCCAGTATCAACATGCAAGCATAAAAAAACTGGAATAAGGTGCAAAGAGTACTTAATTAACCAACCAAGATGATAAATAGGATAGATATAGAGATAGATAATCTATATCTATCAGAATTCAGAAGAGCTTAATTAATAGGGATCAACAAATTCTAACAAAACTCATAAATTGAACCGCAAATGCACTAAAATGCTATTCTACCGCTGTCTCGTCGCCACACGACAAAAAGGGTACTCTCCCGCATTTCCGATTCTACCTAAATAAAGATTCCTGCCGCGCACTTTCTTTCTTCTTTCTTCATCGGCCTCAAATGGAATTCTTATTGGCACAACGGAGGAAACTCTTTTTCATTCTTCAAGTGGATCGACTGCCTTCCGAACCTTAAAAAAAGAAAAAAATATAATAAATAAAAACCGAAAAACCGAGTCTATAGATTTTAGAACACATGCACGTTCAAATAATATATATCGGTACCTTTCTTGCATGCTCATTGATGATGAACCATGATGCATTTTCATTGTGGGCCCGCCGAGAGTGGGTCCGGCCCTAACACTAGAAGAAGATCCACAAACGTCTCCGAGATTCCCGACCGATCCAAACTCGACCCTACACGAACGGTTGCTTACATACCCATTGCTTTGATTCCCGCGAGGTGATTGCCAATGAGTACTCTTTTTCCGGCCTTGAAATCTTCTTCCGTTTCCGTACAAATTCGAATCACCACCGTTATATACTCCTACGCCGTTGCTTTGGCCGCCGTACCTGCGAAAATTATCTTGATAGTGGTAGCTCGGCCCCTTATTCCTCCCCCTTCCATGCGGAAACTTGTCAACGTAAAATTGATTCTGCAAACAAAGAAAAAAAAAAAGGATAACAAATCGTCAAATTTAGCAAGTAACGAGAACGAAGTAACGAGCAAATTAAATATACGTGGGATAAAAACTAAATGTTAATTAAGTGCATTCAGCGCACATGTGTTTACTCTAATTGTTAAAGAATTCCCCGTGTTACGCCTCAACGATATCAATTTTATTACCAACTACTCCCTAAAAACGCATTATTTAGGGTGTTATGTGCTAAAAAAATGCATCTTTAGGGGGGTTTATTTTTTTGCTAATATTTGTAACAGGGGGGGTTTTTAGCAATTCGAGATAACATAGGGGTGTTAAATGCAATAAAAACAAAATACTAACCACTGGAGGAAAGAATGTGCCGGTTCCTCGTGCTTTAGGCATCCCCTCAAAATTGAAAGGAGTGCCGAGAAACGGGGGATCGACGTGAGGGTACGTGGTATGATACCCCGGGGCTCCAGCGGATATTTGGTGCGGATGGTTCATATGGGAAAACTCGTTATGCCTGAATGGCATCGATTGACGAACGATTTCCCACGGGTTAATGTGATGGATTAGAGAAGGGTGAGCCGAAAAATTGTGCACCGGGGGTGAAGGTAGAGCAAACCCTAGGGTTAACTGCCCGCGAAGCAAACTCCTGAGATTGCTGTCGTTGTCTCCAGTTAGGTCGGCCAAAGGATCGGAATCAGAATCAGAATATTCCGATTCCCCTCCTACGCTCGTCGAACAGGTTTCTCTAAAATCGAGAGACAAATTATTCATTGTTTCGACATTTTTCTCGTGTTCGGAGTCAATTTGCTGAGCATGCGAGCTTCCGTTTTCGGTAGACGATTTCGAAGAGGAGACTCCTTTTGGTTGACATAAATAGTTCTCCGAAAGCGACGAAGTATAATGGCCGCCGCTCGATACGTAAGAGTCGGAGTTAGTTGCTGCTGCTGCGAGGGCGTACTTTTCGTCGCTAATTTCGACTTCGTCGCTGAAATCAGTCGCGTACTGCTCTGTCGTAAGCATGTCGTCATAGTTGTCGTCATAGTCGGAAATCGATTCCAATGCGAAGGAATCTTCTTCTTCTTCTTCGTCTTCTCTTCCGTCGCTGAATTCTAAGACGGTAAGGCGCCGTTTGCTGGTCGATGTGCATTGATTTGCATGCCTTCCGCGCGTCTGTTCGAATAATGCGGAGATTTCGTCGCTGATTGTCTCTATTGGTCTTTGAAGAATTTCTCCCAGCCTGTGGGCCCCGAACTTGAACGCACTTCGTATACGGAAGTAGTTCGCTAGGAGACAAGCAAAAACGAAATTTTCAAGAAATTCTTACTGATAAATAATACCATATATTCATTCAAATAAAAGATTAAGAAGTTCGAAGAACCGACGATTAACGAAAGCCAAAAAAAGCAAAAACGGAGAAACCCTTTCATCATGCATGGTAAGTATTCATAAATTCAACTTAAATAACGAACTCGTCTTATAATAGCGCATGCAGAATTTCGATTAAATCGGGAAAAAAAAAAATCAGTGACGGTATTTCTCACCACGACTAACACTGCGGCCGAGATTATTATTCTCCTTGAGCGGGTCGATAATATTTAAATGTTTACTCTGAAAAGGCTTCGGGTTTGCATCGATACCCTTCAAAGGAGCTGCAAACAATTCCATGCAGTAATCGAGAAATTCGTCGCAAAGCAACGGATAATCGCATCCATTTTCAGGCCTCCCCACTGCACAAAAAAAAATTAAAACAATTAAAAATTAAAAAAAAAATCGAATAATCATTACAAGGAGACGAAGTTCACGAAAAAAAATGCTGACCAACTATATACGGGAGCGATGATTTACAAACGGGGCCGTTCAAACTGATGCAGTAGTTGTCCCAGTCGAATTGACTGTAGTATTCCACAAATTTGTAGAGTGCCTACATATAAATAATTTGAAATAAATAATTAAATAAACTAGAAATAAACATCTATATTTATATGAAAATCAGAGTATATTTACCGCTAAAGGGCTGTTAAAAGATGAATGGAAATGATTGAATATGTACAAAACGAGTGCCTCCAACGCGTACGTAGAAAGTAAACCATGGTGAGCGCCAAGAATTCGGCTCTCGTAAAAACACCATGTTTTCACTAGAATAATGCTTCGTTTAAATAGATGGTCTCTCCCAACATATCGATCGACCTGAATTATTATTTATAAATTAAACATGTCAGATGATCAAAATAAAATAAACGAAATATCTCAAACAAACGTGACAGTACTATATAAGGAATAATCCAATCGATCCTATTTTTTGCAAGAAACACATGTCGAAAAGGAAACGATATGCATTTATTGCCGCCGCACGAACGAAAAAAAAAAAAAGAAGAAAACCCTAATTTCGGAGAAAAATAAAGTGTTGAATAAACGATACCTGCTCGAGGAAAGAGAGCGTGGAAATTCCTCCTAGCTGATTGAAGGAAATGTCGATGACCGTGTCGCAGATATTGCATTTAACAAGCTTCACCTGCCGTCGTAGATTTATAAGTAAGTAAGTAAGAACCTCACAAAAACAATATTAGTGCATGTTTTGAACTAAATTACGGCGAAAGTAATGCACCGAGAGTTCGATTACACCACCCCTCTTTGTCACAAGAAACGAACATAAACAGATCTTAACGAACGCTAGGTATTTATTAGCCACAAAAATTGCCCACATATAAATTCAATTCAACTTGTTATAAATTCAAGAACACATTGAAAAGTAAAAAACCTATAAATTTTTATAAAAAAAAAAAAAGAAAACAAAAATGAATTAAGTACCTCAGCATCGATGAAGTTGGTGTCTCTGACAGGGAAATTAGGGTTTTGTAACTGCTGTTGCTCTTGTAAGAGAGCAAGAACATCTTGTGGTAAAGAAGATGTTCCAGCAGCAGCAGAAGAATTAGGTCTTTTTAGGACCGTTAGATCTATATCCCCATCTGGGAGGTATGTCTTCAGTGGTACTGACCCATAGGAGACAACCTGCAGGTACCAAATTACATCATTTTTTATTATTATTTTTTTATTATTTTATTAGTTATTTTATTACTCAATCATTAAACAATTCAAAAAAATTCAACACTTAAAGAAATTATTAAAAAAAAAAAAAAAAAAAAAAAAATTGCTGAAATTAGTGCACAGAGATAGCGAATACTACATTTTAAGTCAGATCTATTACAATGCAGGTTGAATAATCATTTTGTAATAATCTTTAATTAAAAAAAAAATTAAGAAGATTGATGAACAGTTGCAGAAGCTACCACCTTCAGTGGCATGCAAATAAAAAAATAAAAAAATTAAAATTAAGAAAAAGGTGGAATGGAATTAATTGACTTTGAATAAAAAAAAATAAAAAATAAAAAGAAAGAGAAAAAAGATTCATCACCTCACAGTTAAGACGAGTTTTGACGAGTTCTTGAACAAAGTCAATGACGTCACGTCTTTTCTCCTCTGAGTCAAGTGTTGGGTGCACCCAATTCATCACTTGCTCCGCCGCCTCCTCCGCCGCCGAGAGGCGTTCTTCACTGATCTCCGCCAGATCGGGCGGAGGACCCATCCTCCACCCCAGAGGCAGACGCTCCGCCGCCGCCGCCGCTGCATCGCCCCCCGAATTCCCCACCACCCCAAGCTCACCCATCCTCACCGTCATTTTACACAAAAAAAAAACACAGACACACACCAAAAAAAGAAAGAAAGAATGAAACAGTAGAACAGAAACAATTGTTCAAGATTCTTTTAATTTCAATTCTTGATTTATCTACACTATTACAACTATGCCGTTTGATGAGGAAGATGGGTTCTAATTGCCTCTTTTGTCACGTGAAAAAGCAGATTGATAAAAAAAATCTTTTTCTCTCGGACAAGAGAGGTTTAGATAAAATTGAGGTATGTGTGTGTGTGTGTGTGTGTTTTTGTGGGTGGGGGTGCGTATATATATATGGGAGAAAAGGGATTAAATTTTCGAAAAGAGTTGTCCGAGAGAGAAAAAAGCAAAGAAAAGAGAGAGAACGAGAAATCCGGGAGATGAAGACGAAAAATGTAATTATTTTGTTTGTATTCGTCTTCTCCAAAAAACCTTTTCTTTCTCTCTCTCTCTCTCTACCCTTTTTGTTTTCAGTTATTTGCAGAGGTGACAAAATATATAAAACAACCTCGGCACCATATATCTTCCTCCTTCCCCACCCACTTTCTCTCTCCTCTCTTTATCTCTATCTCTATCTCTCTCTACATAAATATACAGGCTTATTACATATATATATGTGTGTGTGTGTGTGTGAGTGTGAGTGTAGGTGTGGATTTTATTTTCTGCTTTTTTTCCTTTTTGGGTTGTAAGAAAATCTTACATATGGGACGCGACGAAGGGAAGATAAATAGACGTTTTTTATATTAATAAATTAAAATTAAAAAAGAATGTGTAAAAACGGCGGCGTACGAGGATGTTTGTTCGTTGTACGGCGTCGTTTCTTTATTTAGTAATTGTTATTTTATTTGGGCTCGGTTGCTATTATTGATTTTGTTAATTAAAAAATCTAGGGGGGAATGCAATAATAATATGAAACTTAATATATTTAATTATTTGTTTTGATTCTTACTATTTATGTATCACTAGTGAAGTGAATAATAGGTACATTTTTTAGTTTTTTTTTATTTATTGTGTACTAAATTTGATCATAAAATTGAAGATATGTACTTTATATCGACCGTTAAATAGATTCTATACGTGTAAAAAATATAACGATCGAACAAAATTTATCGTTACACGTGGTACTTGATCATGTACGACGATCGTTTTTTTTAAATTAACGGCTAGAATTTAGTGGAAAGTAGCTTTAGAAAGATCCACGACAAAGATATGATCTCCGACATGATAATAAATATTTAATTTGTCGTATATTAATCATTTGTAAAGTAAGTTACGTAGTTCTCTGTATAGCACGTGTTCGAAATATATCTGATTAATTTTAGCTCGTTATCGTTTGACACGTATTACTTCCTCGTACGTCAATCATATATGGTATATGCAATAATCAATCTTACTTTCCGTCGAAACTTGATCAACCGCAGTTATATTGTCCGATATATATATACACGATTACACGCGGCGTCATTCTTTTTAATTTATTATCAATCATAAGAGCAAGAAGTAAAAATTATATAATCAATATTAACATGCATACTACTCAATTCAAATAAATTCAACAATTTAGACTATGGATATTAGATTTTTAACCCCAATTTTTTTTTTAAAATAATACATTATTTTGGGGTCATAAAATTAATTAAATGTTAACCCCCTTAGTAATATCCTACTAAAATGAGTTGGTGATTACATATGACGACGTCATCATTTCCTACTCATGAAATTATGATGTGTTTATCCGACAACTCATACAAAATATTTTTCAAATTTCAAAAATAATGGGAGTTTTTCATAATTTGGTTATATGTTGGGGTGGTCGTAATTTGCCCAAAATTTTATTACTGATTTTCTAAATACAATTTTTGGGGGGTGAGGGTGGGGTGGGGGGTGAATTGTGACAATTATTTTTTGTAATATATATTTTTGTGTTTTGGAGTAAATAATGAAAGTTGTTGAAGGTTCTCATCTCTTTAATTGAAAATAATAATTGCTAGGGGCAACAATTAAATAAATAAAAGATTAATGTAATAACAATTTTGAAGAATAGTGTAATCTCCTTACATTTATTGACTTTGGCACTTGTAACTGATGAGGCTTTTGGCCCTTTTCTTCTCATTAAATCCTTACCCATCCCACTCTTTAAGAATTGATAAGCACACGCCAACCTTTTTTTTAAGACCATTTTATCCCTTCGTTTTTAGGATGTAATAATAATGACATTTTTCCTCTTTTGAATTATCTCATGGATATTTTTTTTACAATTTGTTCTATTATTTTTTAATTTTTTTTTTTTTTTTACTTTTTTCATTAGTTGGAAATGAAAAAAGCAAGAATAGGGTTTGGAAAAAAGTGGCATTTTTTATTGGGATGGAAAAGGGTGAATTTATTTTAAATCTGGTTATGTCAATCCGAAATTATATTATTGCACAAGGAAAATTATATATTATTTTCGTAAGGAGAAAAATTATGTCAACACTTTTACGTTCGATTTGAGTCATTTTTTGTAGTTATCAAGATCTTCTATCGTGATTAGATGCTTCATAGGTTTTCGTAGATGCTACGGGGCTTACTGATCTACATTGGGTATTTTTTTACCTTTCGTCTACACGGAATTGACATATACACGTGTACAGTAAAATATAATTAATAAACTTACTCATTGTAGTATTGAACAAATCGGGTTTCATCTCATATTAGATTTTATATGTAAATATACACCAAGTTTATAATATATTCTATTTAAGTATATATATTTTTATGAATCACGTACTATTGATTCACATTTATAATATAGAATACAAGATAAATACCAAAATATTATAACATTTATGGCCCCAACTAGTTTTGTAGTAGGCACTTTTTTTTTTTTAGTAATGAATGAATTCGCAACCAACTATATTTGAGGTGTAACTAAAGTAGTATATGTAGTCTCACAAGTGGTGACAGTGACGAAATTAGAAATTCATCGAATACACATTGAAATAAAAAATATTGTAATAAAAATTTATGACAACAATAATTGTTCTCTGTTGTAATTTGCAATTTCATTCTTTAATAAAAAAAAATATCAAAATCCCAAACATATATTTTTAACCATATATTTTTTAAGAAAGCACACGACTTTCTTTGGTGTCATAAGACATATCCTCGATCGAATTCATACTCAAGATCTCAACAATTTATCTCTTCATATACAATATAAAGGAATCTCAAAGATACTTATCTTCCATTTTGTTTCGAAACCTCGTAACCGAAAATGCTCGTTTAGGTATCATGGGTGGCAGTGTAAGAATTTTATAAGATTGTACACGAATGTTTTGAGCAACGTCCGTGAATTTTTTTTATTTTGTTATTTTCTAGTAAAACTTAGCATTTAATAGGAAATATATCTATTACATTTAATTAAAACATTAATAAAACTCTTTCAAATTTATTAAAAGAAAATAATCATGTAAGAATAAATCAAGGGTGGAAATTGGAATGGAATTTCCAAATTCTGCCAATTCCGATCCGAAAATATCCGAATTTGGAACCGTATTTTTCATTCTGATTTTCGATTCATCCGAATTTATTTCGAACGGAATTGGAATGGTATATAAAATTACCGACAATTGCGATTTTCAATCCAATTTTAGTTCCGTATTTCTATGGTTTTTCGACGTGGGTTGGATTGGAGGCAGAAGATGAGAAGTTTTTTTTTTCCTTTTCTTTTCTTTAGATATTTAATATATATTTTTTGTAATTTTTTTTCCATAAAATTTTAAATTTCATATGTTATTAAGATTTTATTAGGGTATTTTCACCTTCTTCTGCAATTTCAAATTACATAAAAGGTTTTATGTAATTAACTCCAGTATATTTACCCTAGTGGTAAAAACAAAATAGGGTTGGCTAAGGTGGGGTAATTATTGGTCAATTACCACCTAATTTTGCTGAAAATTGAAAACCATTATCGACCCGACCATTATGGGTCGGATAATTGTTGGCAACCGACTTTGTCGGTATTATCGATTCTATTTATTGTTTTTTTTAACAATAATAAGATGTTCTTAAAAGTTTTTTTCAAAAGATATACAAAATTTTGGGAAAACTTATGTAGTAAAAATCTTAATTTAACATTAAGAGTTTTTTTTTATTATTAAACTTCTATAATAAGTTAATATACAATGAAGAATACGAAATAAGAATTATAAAATAGAAAAGGTACGGAGAGGTTTATAAATTTGTGTTGAATTTTTGAGTTTTAACGTCTTTTATATAATGTTTTAACATAAAAAAAAGAATTATAATTTAATATTTATAATAAAAATAATTATTGAAAAAGTCAAGAATTATAATTTAATATTTATAATAAAAATAATTATTGAAAAAGTCGGTAGGTTGATAATGTCAGCTAACCGACTTTTGAGTAAACTGAAAACTACCGATCGACTCATTTATATATGAATCGATTAAAATCACCAGTCCGACAATAAAATTATCGATCGAAAGAAGTGGATCAAAAGTGGGTCAACTGGTTACCTCATGTTACCACAAAAAATAATAGGTCAAATAAAAAATTGTATTAAATAGTGAAATCAAGCGAGATCCAACTAATTGTGTGATGATACAGAAAAGTCGGATTATAATCTATCAAAAACGCTAGGGCAAATTGAGGATCCTTCTTGTTTGGGTAATAATTATAGTGATCCCTTAATTATGTATTATCTTATGAAAAAATCATTCCAAATGTAAATTTAGGAATGTTAAATTGGCAAAATCGAACCGAAATTTCGTTACGGCAATATTCCATACTATTTACCGAACTGAATATACGATTAGGTTCAATAAATAACCGAATTACATAAATTTTATGTAAAAGTATTTAAAAGAAGGGGTGACTGTAATTAATAAAGTATTAATAAACATAACACGGAATAGAAAGGGGGAATATAACTAGTTACCGAAGTTTTTAAGACAATAATATGTTTATTTGTGAAGTTTCATTATTCCAATAGTTAATAACTATTTAAATAAAATAACACAAAACAAAAGAGATAAAAGAGTCAATAATTGTTTTCCACCTCAAAAATTAGAACAAAAGCAAAATCTCTGATGAATTCAAAAATTTCAGTTGCACATAACACATAAAATAACAATTCTCACATGTCTGAAAAACTAAATATAATAGCAATTATGGCTGAAAAAAAGACATCGAAATTGCATAACACAAGACTCAATAGAGCTTAACACACGAGTGCCAACCATAAGAATCAAGTGCGCGCAACTGCAGGGGGGCCGCCTGGACGCGGAGCTTGCCCTGGCTTCGGGGCATCATCCTATTCATTCAAAAAACAAAATCAAATTAATTAAATCTTGACAACTCAATTTATCAACTAAGAACTATAAAACGGAAGTTTTACCAGATGAATTGTTGAAATCGGAAATGTTAAAACAGTTTTGAAAATCTAGTACGACTGAACAATTTAAAGAAAGATTTTCACAATCTGAAACATGCTGAAGCTTTCAAGATTATTGTTTCGTGTGTAACGAGCAAGTGCTAGAGCAGAAGACGATGACACATTCCATAACAAAAGAACAGGGAAGAAAGTTGATAACTACAAGACGACGGTTGGTGACTAAAATACATCAGAAAAAAATTAAGTAAATAAATGAATAAATGAAAACTAACCCTTGGGCGTCTGAAGCGCTGTGGGGGCTCACGGTTCCTCCTGTCAGTGCGAGACCTGACTCTGACAACCTTTGAGTGAATGGCGCAGGACACGCAGTATTGCATCTTCACATACAGCTTTGGAAGGGTGTATGCTGCATTTTCAAGTACAAAATCATGCATCAATTAATTTATTATAACACAGAAATGGGAGAAAAGGTCGATAAACTAATTAAGAGGTAAAAAGGCTTACTGTCGAAAGCACAAGCTTCCTGCACATCCCTAACAGCTGCTTGCTCAACAATGTTTCTTACCAGAAACCTCTTGATGGCCTTGTCCTGTAAGAAACACCATTGTCAAATTGTTTATAAATCATTTTTCGGGTACACAACTTCCGTCATGTATTTTTAAAATACAAAAATTGGTAACCATTTATTACGAAATGCAGCACCGGCAAGTAGTTTTTTATCAAGAAAATAAATGACGAGTCTTGAGAATGTATTTGAGTTAGAATACATTTATACATACACTATAATCGATCAAAAGCTCATAATCATTGCAAATTCTAATCCTAAACAGAAACAATAGATCATAGCGATTATCCAAAATTAAAACTAGCCTACAATACAATACATATTTGATTATACCGAACACTGATAACATTGAAGTATTAACTATCCATGAATCTCAAACTAATGACAATTACAACGCAATCTAACTCTTAGCCGAGAGACATATTTCAATTTATGCATCTACTAATAACGAAATTCAAAATCCAAAATAAGATCCAAAGAATTGACAGCATATCTAATCACATCTCTGTATTCTAAAAATATCAAGCAAAAATTAAATAAATAAATTTAAAAAAAATAAAATAAAAAAAGACCTTGGGGCAGCATTTGCCGCAGTTGGAGCAGCGGATGAAATTGACGTGGCCGCGGCCGTGCTTGTTGCGACCACCGTTCCTTCTCTTGAAAGTCTACAAAACCGCCGGAAAATGTAATTGTTCAGTAGAAGAAGATAGAGGAAAAACAAAAGATAAAAATACAGAGAAAAAAAAATTAAATTAATTGAAAAAGGATGATTAGAGAGGATTTCGGATTCACCATTGTCGATGCAGTGAGCTTTGTTTCTCTCTGGAAGATGGAGCCGCTCGGCCTTGCACTCTAGGGTTTTAATGTTACAGAGGAATGAGAGAGAAAATGGGAGTTGGCGTGAATTTATATGATCCTTTGTTGTGAAACCCTAAAAGATAATTGGGCCTTGAATTGATGATCCAGGGTCTTTAAATTAGGCCCTTCTTCGAATTTATTTGATTAGCCCAACGCCTATGCGTATAAGATATTTTTAATTTAAAACGAAATAAAGATAACAATATAGTGAGGGGAAATTATAATTTTCGTCCTTCGTGTTTGCACTGATTTCATATTTGGTCATCATGTTCACAAAAAACACATTTGGTTTCTCATGTTTCAATAATTTAAGACTTTTAGTCATTTCGGCCAATTATCCGTTAGTTTGTCGGTTTATGCAATAACGGGAACATGTTTGTTTTCGTTAGTATTAACGGAAAATTGACAGAAATGACTAAAAATGTTTAAATTTTGAAACATAAGGAACCAAATGTATTTTTTGTAAATATGGGAACCAAGTGTGAAATCAATGCAAACATAAAGCAACATTGACTGAGTTTTCTCTTTTTTTCATCTTCATCTACCCTCTTGTTAATCAGATCAATTCTTTTTTTTAAATCAAATCTATAATTGATTTAAAATGTCAGTTGTCATAAAACCCGAATTTGTCCGGTTCCTAATATTCCGGTTCAATCGGCTGTTATCCGGGATTAGGTTTTGGAATCTTGTAGATTCTGCATCGGGTGAAATATATTGTGTGAATGTTTGTAAATGTGGGAATCATTATCTTAAGTTTGTAGAGTGGTGGAATTGGAATGTAAATTGTAGTTACACGCATAATGGTTAATATTACATTATCGACGTCTTACTTTAAAATTCGGACGCGTGAGGGGCAAGTGTTATATGATTTATACTTTACGGATACAAATTGTAATATTCTACCGTTTTATTTGAAGACAAAATGATGTTATTCTCGTTCACGTTTACACGACATCCTTTAATAAAACATGAAATTAGTAATACGAAAACGAATTTGATAAAATTCGATCACGAACCTCGTAAATTTTACTTGCCTAATTTTACTCTATTTTTCTTGCGAAAACAAATCTCCCTATGTTTTTTGGACAAACAAACAAAAACAACTTTTATGATGGTGTGTGAACACATTTATATATCCCGCCAAAATTGAACAAAATATCTCCTAATACATAACTTTCCCACCTTAAGAAAATAAAAATAAAAAATCCAATCTGTCAGTTTGCAATCATCAATTCCCTACCAGTTTCCATGTACCACACAAGTCACTTCAATGTTTGTAGCATTGTATCCTCAAGAATCTCTCTCTCTCTCTCTCTCTCTCTCTCTCTCTCTCTCTCTCTCTCTCTAGAAGTTGAATATGATGCTATTATGCTTGTAGTGTGACAAGTTGTTGATCAAGATTTTCGGTCCCAAAAAAACTCAATAAAAGAGAGAGAACCCCTTTATTCACTTCAATTTCTTTCTTATCTTCTATGACTCAATTTTGAATACCTTTTCATTGTTTCTATCTTGTTGGAATCCTTCCAACACTTCATGTTGTATGTATATATATATTTATATATACATACATACATACATACAAACACTATAGTTAGTTTTCTCTGCAAAAGGCAATCACTTATAACTTAATTAGTACATCGATCAATATAATCTTTGCTCGTTATACTTTATATATATTCGTGTCCGACTGATACAATGGCGATTCATCAACACTACCGCCTGCCTCGTATGCTGCTCAACTCCTACGTCGCCAATAGCACGAACATCTCTTACAAAGACAACGACGCCACGAACTTCGACAGCAACATGGTCATAATCTTGGCGGCTTTGCTCTGCGCGTTGATATGCGCGCTCGGGTTGAACTCGATCGTCCGTTGCGCGGTGAGGTGCGCTCCGAGCACGTGGGTCCACGAGGCCACCGCTGATGAGGTGGCGGCCGTGGCGGCGGCAGATCGTTTGTCGTCGAGCGGTAATCTCATGAAGAAGGAGGCAGAGTTGGTGGTGGTTGAGATTCCGGCCGTGGTTTACAAGGCGGGGATACTCTGTATTCCGGCGGCAACCGACTGCACCATATGTCTGGGGGAGTTTGTGGAGGGCGAGGATGTACGGATTCTTCCGAGGTGCAATCATGGATTTCATGTCGAGTGTATAGACACATGGTTGGCCTTGCATTGCTCGTGTCCTGTTTGCAGGCAAACGTTGTTGATGGATTGCTCTGCACGCGAGTGTTCCGATTGATTAGTTGTGTTGATTGCGCACTAGGTGAATTTTGTTTTTGGATAATCGAGGTGGTGATCCCAATTTTCGTCGGACTAACTTTCGATATGCCTCGGTTGGTTGTTTCCACCAGAATACGAACCTGCATCTCGCCGCTAGGAGCGAGTTTCGATATGATTGTTCTAATAGTTGAGTTGTGACCGGCAAAAGGTTTTACTATAGCTGAGAATATATTTTGTCTAGAGATTCTTCTTGTATGGTTTATATGTGCAATGGCTATTGAATGTGTTCATATTTCTATTCGATTTATATATGTACAGACTCTACTAGTGGATCCAATGGCTCGTAAGTTGGGGCTGTATAGGGCGCGAGAGCCTTGTACTTATCGAACCCTTATAAGAAGGTTCGACATTGGGTAATTTTCCGATTATTCTTTTTTTTTTTTTTTTTTTGATATAAGAAGGTTATGTAATTAACCTAAACAAGAAAGTGTTTTGTTGAAAGTAAAGTTTATTGAGTTATGAGTTAGAATTTTCAAAATATATTTTGTGACGCTTGTATGTTTTGTTTTTCAAATTCAAGAAGCTCAAGTATAGGTGAACCAAACATCGAGGGAGAGCGGTGTAACTTCTCTAAATTTAAATAAGGGTTAATTACGTTCATATCCATAAAGTAAAGTTAAATTACGAAAAAAACTCTTCTGTTTGGGTAATTACAATAACCCATTTTACATTCATCCTTATAATATCAAATTCAACATAATCTTTTACATTCCATGAAATGTTCTCTAGTGTGTACTCGGTTTTGTGCAAAAATGCAGTTTCTGATATACCCTGCTTTTACAAGCCAATAGACACATCTTATGTTCATCTTGTTTCAAAATGTGGAGCTCGAATGAAGTTAAATGGGAACAAATTGGAATATTGCACATAATATAAGGGTGCACTTGGATAGAGGAATTTGAGAGAGGAATTTTAAATCCATAATAACAAATCCCTTGGACTTATTTGGATTGATGGATTTGGAGACAGATTTCAAATCCCCACCACTCATTTTTAGTTGATTTTAGAGCAATGGTGGTGGATTTCAAATTACTCCAAATTGAAGTTATTTCAAATCTCTTTCCCAGATCAAACTCCCCTCCAAATCCCTCAATCCAAACGGACCCTAAAAAATTCCACTAAATTTGACACCACTAGAATAAACGTGAAAGAAAACTCATAATTGAGGGGAGTAGTTGTAATTAAAACATGAGGGAATTTTTCGTAATTTGACCTTATCCCAGAGGCGACCGTAAGTTATTCTTTGAATATATCTCGAACAACATACAAGTGTTCGACTCTGCCGAGTGTCAAAATAAAACATTAGACGAAAAAAAAAAAAACCCAATGTTTTACTTGCTAACTAATGGCAAAAAGACATTCCAAAGGTGCTCCAAATGACAGTAAAATCAACTTGAAACAATTTGTATATCAAACAACTAAAGAAACATGACTTCAAATCTGAGATCAAAACATATAAACATCTATGTATTTCAACAAAGATAAAATCTATCTATGGTATAAAACACTATAAAATATTAACAAACTTTATATCAAGGTCCAAACAGTGACCCCAAAAACGAAAAAATAAAATAAAATAAATAACTAACCATCTTCCCGAATCTTCTCCGGTTCCACGTCAGCAACATTTTCTTCAACAACATTCGCAGCTTGAGGCACCAAATACATATCATCTAAAGGACAGCTAGCAGCATTCATCAAGGCAGTCAAGCTCATTCCGGAAGCTTCTAGAAGAACTTCATCTTCTCGGTGAGGATCGCAGTTCAAGTCCAATTTATGCCCCTTGCTACTCGTTTCTTCCACTAAATCCACCGTATTCCCATTTTGCCCCTCGTTTTCTTCTCTTTGACGGTTCATACTCACGAGTGCTTCTCCAACAATATCTTCGCTTTCCTTATCTATTTTGGCATTATTATTAATATTTTTAATATTAATATTATTATTATGATCATTATTAATAATATTATTATTAGTAGTAGTAGTAGTAATATTATTAATATTATTATTATTACTATTATTATTAATATTATTATTATCTATTTTGTTATTGTTATCATTTTCCATCTTCACTAGGGCGAGCTCGAGCTCGGCTTCACGGTCCGATTGGCGTTTCTTCTTGCGCATCATTAGGGTTTTGAATCGACGCCTAACGGTCAAACAGACGTTGCACTTGCACGAGGGATCGTGCTTGCCCTTTCCGCTCGGCGGCTGAATGCACACAATGCAGGTGCACCCGGGGCGGTGACGTGGATGCCTGGTGGTGGTGGCGGCGGCGGCGGTGGCCCCCACGGAATATTCTCCTCCCATATCGCCTATGTTGTCTCCTCCTAGTACTGCCGCATTTGCCAATGCGTCTAACCCTGATGGCTCCCCTTCTCCAGATGAAATTCTTCGCTTTTTATAATCTGGAAAAAAAAAGAGAGAGTATAATCAAATCGAAATTCCCAAAACGACACATGAAAGACACCCAAAAAAAAAAAAAAAAAAAAAAACACCGACAAAAATGATTTTTTTTTCCATCATGCAAGTGTTTGTATGTGTGATTGTCCATGAGAGAGAGAGAGAGAGAGAGAGAGAGAGAGAGAGAGAGAGAGAGAGAGAGAGAGAGAGACCCTGGCTCATACCCTTGTTAACAATATCGAGATCCCTCGAATTTATATCTTCTGGAGCAGAACATGAACACCTGGGAAAAACAATCACCGTTATATAATATAAGTAAAAGATTCTCTTTCATCCGCTGCCATTACCAGGAATGCTCAATATTTCAGCCACAACATATTTTGAAGGATATTCGACATTAAAAAGATTATATAGAATGAAGATTTAGTTTATATAATCGTTTTAGTAAACCTGATTCCGGTCCATAAGATATTGAGCAATAATTTCATTTTTTGAAGATTTCCTCGAAATCAGAGTATGTTAGCGTTTTGCATGTCCTAATATTTCTTAAGCCCCCAAAATTGGATCTTTTTATCCCTAAAATGAAAATAAACACAAGTCTGAAAGGCCCAGCTCGTGAGATTTTTCTTTTTTATTTATATTTTTTTATTAACGATATAAGCAGTATATAATGACAATAATAAAAAATAATATATGAATATGTATGCAAAAATACAAGGTAAAATATTGCAAGAGTTACTATAATGCTTCTATTTATACTCTATTTGTATTTTACATGTACACTAATAAAATATATGAGCAAAAAACAAGACTGTTTTCCTGATATTCAATTCAGTAACGGGGTACGAAAATCAAAATTCTTGTAAATTTTATTGAAAATTATTTATTACCATTTTTTACTGAAAAAAAAATTGATTTTATAACTCGGCTTTACAATAAGATCAAACAACTTATCAACTCCCAAAACATCTTATGACTTTAGCCAAAGAGGCTCTTAGTATGATGATTTGAACTCGATTACACTCCTAGAACCATCTTAAACAATCTTCACATTGTACAATAGAACCTCGATAAATTAATAACCTTGCTTAAATAATAGATTTTTCTGGTCCCGACTCTATAAAAACCTACTAAATTATTAGCTTGATAATTTCATATTTCGCTAAATTAATAGAATTTTGTTAGTCCAGACTGTATTAACATATAGAGGTTTAACTGTACTATCTTCACTCTATCGAACTAAATTAATTTAGAAAATGCTAACCTGGTCGAGTCCCAGATGTTATCGGAACAAGTCCAATTTGCAGAGAGAAGAGCATCCACAGGCAATCGTCGCCATTTCGAACAGCTGTCACATTGAACCACTTGTTCTTGCTCCCTGATCAAGATTATTCAACATTCTCACACTTGAAAGAATTTCAATAATAAAATCCTCGAAAACAAAATTAGTATACATTTGTGTGGAAACCCTAATGCGATGATTCTGCCGTTTGGTAGATAATTTGTATATTCATATAATGATTGGATGATTATAGATTTTCTACTGAGAGGGAAAATTACAACCACTTCTCTGAGGTAAAGTGTAATTACAAAAAAACCTCTTTTGTTTGAGAAATTACATCCAATCCCCTGCAGTTTGTAAAATTTCTTACATCCACCCCCTACAGAAAGGTGTTAATGTAAGGAATTTACAAATTGTAGGGGTAGACGTAATTATGGAAACATGATGGGTTTTTTTTGTAAATAGACCTTACCTCAGGGGTGGATGTAATTTACCCCTAAGCATAATATTGACTGTACACAAACCTAGTCCACCTTACAACTTTACGAGATCAAATTCGGTAACCCTTACCCTGAAGGTCCACAAACGAACATCGTCCTCTTTCCAAAAACTGGAGGTTCCTAAAAACCACAAAAAAATTAAAAATTAATAAATAAATTCATTAGAGAGTACAAGATCTCGAAAATACGGATATCCAAAAAACGAAAAAAAATACTGCATAGGGATAAAAATTAATTACTTCAAATTCTTCAATTTCGAGGTCCTCGACAACGAATACAGTTCTTTCAGCAGACGGAGACGGACGAAACAATTCCTGCGCTTCGTCCCATGTAATTCTCAGGTCCATAGCTTCGTTATTGTTCATTACAAGTCTCTTGTTTTTTATGTTTTTCGCCTTCCTCTTTTCAGACAAGGTCAAATGCTGCTGACCAGAATCATCGCCAGCTCTCGACCCATTCTGCACTCACAACATTGTCGTATCTCGATAAGAACGCAGTTAATAATATATTATTTAATTAAAAAAAAGGTTGGGAAAAATAGTGGGTGATAGTATACCGAAGGAAGATTGTCGGGAATTGGTGTTTCTCTTTCTGCCACAGAATCATTTGGTAAGGCAGACGTCTGTGAATCCTACTCGTTTGACAAAAAAAAAACAGTATATTCAGCAATTTGGCATAACCCAGGGAAAAAAACCCAAACACAACAAAAAGAAAATTAATATAATAATTGGAATGAAAAACGAGGCAATGCCAAGAATTTCTTACCTGCACATCGACATTGTTTGCTGTTTTCCGACAGCCTATGACTAGTTGACCACCAGGGTCTATCCGACTGAATATCACTACTCAAAAGACAAAGATTACGTAATAAGTCTCCATCAAATCGTGACAACATATTAAGAAAAGCGACGAAAAACAAAATATGTCCCGAAATATTCTTGAAACAAATTTTATATGCAACCAAATTTTTTTTTTAATATAGATAAATTAATGTGTGCATCGGTGCTAAAGACCATGCGACATAAAAACGAGAAAGGTACATATGCATGCAAAATTAATCCCGAGAAGCAGAATAATTTAGTAAATTTAGGCCTCGTTTGGTTGCCAATATAAGATTAGCCAAGATAAGATTAAATAATCTAATGAAACCCAATTACATGCCTATAAGGCAAGATAAGCCATGATAATGTAATATTTGGGGATATCAAACATCAAATAAAGTTCTATTATTTAGTTAATCATGGCTAATCTCCCCAGCCAAACGAGGCCTTACTATTTCCAGCACTACATATTAACAAACAAACAAAAAAAATATATACCCGTGTCACCAGCTTGCAATTGCATATTTTGGATGCAAGGGGTTACGCCTTCCAAAACGTACATTCTGCTGTTATTATTCGGCCAAAATCTGAATTGAAAAATCCACTCTTTCCCCTTTATATCCTGAATCTTTATCGGTATACCTTCCGATTGATTGATAGAAGGAAAGTACGCCTGCATAACATAATTTAAACAAAATAAAAAACCCTATTAGCATACTTCGAATTAACATCGTCCAATCACCAAAACAAAAAATAATAAATAAATAAATAAATAAATACTCACTTCAGCACATGCTTTGGGCAGGACCAACCGACCAATTCGCCCAGCATCACTTGCACTTAGAATCTTCTCGAATAACGGTACAATAGTGGACTTCAAACTATATATTAACAGTTAAGGCAAACTAAAAAAGATATATGCATAAATAATTAGATCGAGAAAAAATAATTATCAAGGATACTCTCCAGATAACTGCTGCAATTCTTGATCCGTAATCCTAGGCCAATAACGAGGAAGCAACAAATTACGGCCCCTGCCATCAGCTGGGGGCCTGGCAACACGTGCTTGTGGAGCAGCCCCCAAGGGGGTGGGTTTGGGGGGCCTCGAGAAAACGTGACGTGTTTTCGGCCCCCCATCTTTGCTCGATTCACCCCCTTCAAGAATCTTCTCACCGGTCAAAGGCGGTACGGTCAAGGAGAAGTTTCTAGAAGGCTGAGCATGAGATTCGAACATATCTTTAACACCCGGCTTTGCCTGGCTTTTACTATCGATTTTCGCGAAAACCGAGGAGCTATGTGGGGAGGGATTCGGGGCCCGCTTGCTGCTTTCTGGGCTGAACTCGTTGACCGCTATGGCTTTGGTCAACTGCAGAAGCCTCTCTGTGCTGAATCTGTCTTCCTCGATTCTCTTCTCGATGACTATAGGGCGAGCATCCCTTATACCACCACTTTTGGGGATAAATGCGCTGCTCGGAATATCACCACGACTCTGCAAAAAAAAAAAATCAAGAAATATAAACACACAAACGCACACACTCACGGTGTAACTACTTTTAGTAAAAATCTTTCGAACCTGTATCGAAGGTGGAGTATGAATTTCCAAACGCTTTGAACAGCTCGAACACGAGATACCCCCGAAATCCATGTATTCGTGTAGATATTTTGAAGCAATGCATCCACAGTGGACAAGCTAATGAACGAATTTTTATTAAGACATGGAAAAAATAAAAATAAGAAATCGAAAGAGAGTGTAAAATTACTATTTTTACCTTCCCGCAAATTCTGCATTCCCTCCAACCAGATTCATCGGAATGGAATGTTTCACAGAAAACGGAATTCTCGTATGCAGATCTAGAAATCCACAATAAACCCGTGTCAGAGTAATTTTTAAAGCCGAGGAGATGCAATTTCATTTTGATTTAACGATACGAGCAAACATTTCAGCAACTAAATCGATGCATACTACAATGCATCAACCCTTTATGCTTCTTTCGAGCTAAATAAAAATATATGTCCACGTTATTTCACACACACACACACACTCACACACACACACACACACACACACACACACACACACATAGATACACACACACACACACACTCACACACACACACACACACACACACACACACACACTCACACTCACTCACACACACACACACACACACACACACACACACACACATGGAATTAAGTGAAATTAAGCAATAGATAACAATAGCAAGCCATTAAGCAAGATAAATTGCAATAGCATGGAATGTTATGGTTAAAAGTTTTTATTTTTTTCCGGAGAAACTACACAAACGGGCTTAATCATTTGAATTGCCCTTACGATCGATTATTGAGAGCTACAATAAAATAGCCTACACTAGAGAAAATAGCCTTCATGCTTCTTTCAAGCTAAATAAAAATGCGTGTTCACGTTATTGCACACACACACACACACACACATATGGAATTAAGCGAAATTAAGCAATAGATAACAATAGCAAGCCTTTATGGTTAAAGTTTTTATTTTTTCGGAGAAACCACACAAACGGGCATATAATCATCTGAAGTGATGTTACGAATTACGGTCGATTATCGAGAGCTACAATAACAATACAACCTTTGATTTGCATGGATGTACTATAGCATTGCATCATGTGAACTAGTCTGATTAGAAAGGTATATTCTTTAACAAAATAATAATAACAAAATAAAAGAAGCAAAATACCAAAGCTGTACTACAAGATGACCATGAAGAATATATCCTAAATATAGGAAATAGCAAAAAGAAAAACATCTCCACACTGTAGCGGTATTTTAGGAAAGCCCCAAAATGCACATTCCGAAACTACCCTTCCCAAATTGAAATCGAATTGAGTTTGTAATTCAAGAAAAAAAAAATTACCCGCAGTTGTAACACAGGGTAGCGAATCCACCCGATTTCAAGATCCAACCTTTCTTCCATTCAGACGACGTCGTTGCGCGGCACAACTGGTTCATGCAATTCTTCGAACCCATTTTGAATTGAATTTCTGTAACAAAAAGAAACCCAATTACAAATTCACAATCAAAACCCTAAAACCCAGATCAAAGGAGTTCTATAAAATCGATCAATTTCAATTTCTATAAATCGGGAAAAAAAAAATTAAAAATTCCAGACCTTATTTCGAATCTATGAAACGCATGGTCCGAATACGAACAACCTTAAATCACAAACAACAATTGTCAATTGCCCGAACTGCTGTATGATTTACAGCAATTGAAATCTTGAATTTTGAATCTGGGACTGAGAAACAGAGTGAACAGAAAGAATAGAGAAATCGAAGTAAAAAAAAATAAAACGAAGCGGCGGTCGGTGGGCGAATCCGCTAATGCCAGACTAGAGTCAAAATTCAGTAAAAATAAAATCAAAATGAGGAGGATGCGTGATTCATGGACGTGTATCTATATTTTTAGAGAGAGAAATTGGGGGAGGGGAGGAGAGAGAGAAAAGCGTGTGCGCATGCAGAGGGGGAGAATATAGGTACAACAAAAATGCATGCACGACAATTCAAGACCGAGGCTTCGTCTACTTGTATTTTATATATATACACATATGTGTATATATATATATAGATATAGATACAGAGTTTTTGGCCCAAAACTGTATTTACCCTTTTGTGTGTCTGTGTGTGTGTGTGTTTACATTTTATTAAGGGTTTTACGTTCTTAGTGGTTTTTTTAAGTGATTTACGGCTTCAGGGATTTCGAATTTCAGACAGAGATACGATTTGTGCCCGACGGTTTCGTGGATTCACATGTTCAGGGGTAAAAATGTCAATTCGCTCTCTTGGCAATTTTTTATTTTTCCCATTAAAGAAAGATAATAAATAAAAGGTTGCCCCTCCACCACGATTGAAAGTTCACTGTTTATTTGAATGTTAAAACAAATTTCTACACTTCAATTTTATAAAGAAAGGGCTATTTGGCAAAAAAATTCCAACAAATTTAGTATAGACATAAATTCAAATTTTAAATTAATATATGTGATATATTTATTAGATGTATAATTTATTAATACCTAAATTACCCCAAGTTGTTATTATAGAAATCAATTATAAAAAGTGTTTAGATATGCAAATCCACCTCTCTCTCTTCAAAAAACTCTCTCTCCAAAAAAACTCACTCACAAATCTCGCTCGCACTACGCGAAGGAAATATAGTCAACCCAAAATTTAAATACATAATACCTAAACTACCCCCAATGTATTATTATAGAAAATCAATTACAAAGGTGCCAGATATGCAATCCCGCCCGCTATTAAAAATATCGCTCACAAATCTCACTTTTACTGCACAAAGAAAATATAGTCAACCCACTTTATCTCCATCATCGATCGCTATACATTCCACCATGGCTAACTCGATATTTTTGTATAATATGCTACTAATAATTGTTTTTGTAAACATTAGGGTAAACCCCAATTTTTGGGTTCGACATCGCAAACCCGATACAACACCAAGCAACCAAGTATGTTACGCTGGAAATATCATAGCATTTGTTCTCCGAGTTTTAATCCGACATGTTTGCAGGTTTTCTATATACACACTGTTGACCTTTCATCGACAAGACGGTATAAATATCAACATCGAAAAGTAAATCATCGAGAAACTCATTATATTGCAAATTTCAATTCTATTGAAAACTAAAACTTTGTTTTTTTAATTTTTTTTTTATAATTTTGGTTAATTTTGACGATAGTTTAATAGCAGACCCTCTGTGATAATTTTATGTTTTAATTACACAATAGTTGTTTTTAATAGAAGCTGATAATGTAGTCGATTATTTGTATTCGCTTGCGAAACATTTAGCTTAACATTGAAAATTTGCAAAATTATGAATTAAGAAAAATATATAATTTAATTTTAAAAATATTGTATTGACTTTTTAATCGATCAAATTTATTGAATTATTTTTCCGATTATTCCATCCAATAAAAGTGGTGATATATTAAGGGCATTATTATATTTTAATATGAGCACTGTTATTTCCGGGAAATTCTATGCTACACTTGGTGAATATAACCAGGCACCCTAATTAATAAGATTCCCATTACGGGTTCAGTTATGGCCCAATGGGTTTTAGAAATATAATTATAAAATAAATAAAAAAGGATACATGTCAAGAAAAGAGTCACCCGGTGAAAATCACCGGGTGTAGCATCGTATTTCCCGTTATTTCCACCTCCAAATAATGCGGTTTACGTCTCTCGTATGGTTTGCAAGCTATTATGCCGGGTTTGACCCGGACCCGGCCCGGACCCGCCGGGTCTACCCGGATTTTAGGTTTTTTTTCTGGTTCAAATTTTCAATCTACTGGTATTAGCTGATTCAATTCATTTGGAAAATTATTCAACAGTAAAGTTATGTCCTTTTTTTTTGTGTGTAGTATACTTAATAATGTTCCAGTATAATCAGTGGCGGAGCCAGAAAACACTTTAAGGGAATAAATTTTACGGGGTTCGGAAGTAGAGCCCCCGAATTTTTTTATCGGTCAACCGATCCACTTTTGACCCGCTTCTTTCGGCCGATAAAATTTTCGGTCGATAATTTTAACATCCCCATATATAAATAGGTCGGTCAGTGATTTTCAATTTACTCAAAAATCGCTTGGTCGGGTGATATCGACTAACCGACTTTTTTAATAATTTTTTCATTATAAATATTTAATTGTAATTTTTATTTTTTTTAATATTAAAATAATATGTAAAATAGGTAAAAACAAACACTCAAAACACAAATTTATAAATCTCTCCATACTATTTCTATCTTATAATTTTTATTTCATATTATTCATTATATATTTACTTATTTTTGAACTTTAATAAAAAAAACTCTTAATTTTAAAGTTAATATTTTTACTAACATAAAGTTACCCAAATTATTGAATATATTTGGAAAAAAACTTTTAAAAACATCTTATTGTTGTAAAAAAAATAAAAATAAAATATAAATAGATGGTCGATAATACCGACCAACCACCCATTGTTTACCCATCAAAGTCGGTTGCCAACCATTACCCGAACATAATGGTCAGATCGGTAATGATTTTCAATTTTCAGCAAAATCGCGTGGTCGGGTCGGTTAGATAATTGGCCGATAATTACCCAAACCGACCCATGCCCAGCTCTACATGCTATACTTCAGATGCAAAGTGTATTTACTTCTTTAAAAAATGAAAATTATTCTGAGATCAACTGATGTACTGAAGTTGGATTTATATATGTAATTTCCTAAACATGAGGGGATCTAGGCGTAACTCGACATAAGATTATGGTCGGATCGAGATATAAAAAGATTCAACTTAAGCCCAATAATTTTTTCCTCAAAATAAAAAATTAAGCCCAGCCCAAACCCACGGAGGCTGTGAAACCCTAGGCTGACATCAGATATTCCCCTATAAATAAGACTCACTAATCCTCCAATTTTCACCATCAAAACATCGGCCATCGTTTCAGATCTTATTTATTTATTTATTAATTATTTTCCGATATTATATTTTAATTTAAAAACTAATTAATTGTTGGTTGGATCTGTGTACAATTAAGCCGATGCTCCGGAAATAGAATGAAGGAAGCATGGTACTGTGCACAGAGAACGAAGTTTCACGGTCGCTTGTCTGCCCCCTCTGATTCGTTTCATGATTTGGGGGCCTGGTTTTAGACCTATATTTTTTTTTATTATTATTTAATCTATTTTATTTACAATTGTTAGTTTAATATTTATTATTATTTTTATTATAAAAAAATACGTTTTTAAATTATTTTGTGGATTAAATTTGTTCTTGCTGGTTTTTTTTATTTATATGTACTATCATTATATTTTGACGTTTTCAGTTTTTAGAAATTATAAATATAAATATTTTAGTTTCAAGAAATATAAATTTTAGCATTTTTAAATGACTGATTTAATTTTCGGCGAATTTGAAATTTATTTGATTTGGATTCTATGGTGGATTGGATTTTAAATCAAATCTTGGATTTATTCCGTGTTTGGTTTAAAATATGATGAGGATTTGAAAAATTTGAATCAAAATTAAGGGTAAATTACAAGGACACCCTTGAGCTCAAGTTAGCATAATTACATTGAGTAAACGGTCTTTCAAAAAATCTAACAGAACACATGAATTGACTGATTTACCCTTTAATCATAAAAATTAAAATTATTAAATATTATTGAAGTGTATTTCACTGTACACATGCTAAAGAGCTGAAAATGGCCGTGGGATTTGAGGACAATTTTTCCTAATCAATTAAACTATTTAGATTACTAAAAATGAAATTAATTTATGATTCTTTTAACTCAGAAGCGGATTGTCATATGCTCCAAATTATCATTATAGTTGATACGTTAAATTGTTAAGTTTAGCGATTAACAGCCTAAAATGATATGATATTGGGTAGAAGAAGAAAAAAATGTTTCTCTTGGTACGGTCCGCCGCACCTGAGTATGATGACACAGTGTGTACTAGTGGCAAGTTCAGGAATTTGGTACATGAACTTAAATTTTGGGGGTGTATGCGGGCGCCCTCGAATTTTTTTAAGGATTTTTTTTTGAAAATAGAAAAAGAATAAACGAAAAAAAGAAAGAAATAAAAAAAACAAAATTTGGAGTTTTTTTGCATTAATTTGAATTTTGGGTGGACCAATTAATAAATTTTGGGACTCTTTTGAATTAATTTGAATTTTGAGTTGGCTAATTAATAAAAGTATAAGGCTTCTTTTACATTAATTAAAATTTTGAGTGAACTAAATAGATATATAATATAATATATGGGTGAAAATTGTAAATTGAGGGTGGCTTAAGTTCTATACACATACAAAAATTGTAAAAACCCTTGCCTAAGGGTGAACTCTTCCCTAGTGTGTTCTATACACATACCGTGTTCAATGAACCTACAAAAATTAGGCAAAAATTGTAAAAATATGTTACAAATATGCTATTATAAATTACAAACTTACTCATATCTCTTTTGGATATGCCTTTGATCAACTTCCGATAATATTTCAATTTCTCCCTACAATTTAAATTAGAGGCCCATATTCTGTATCGAAGTTGGAACTCTCTATATGCCGTCGAAATTTTCGATCGAAAACAATGGAAGTATTCAAAAATCCAGAACTGCAAAATAACTTGAAACTTGTTCAAAACAACTAATTTTGTAAAAATAATAATAAAATAAGTAATTGAATTTTCAGAAGAAGAATGGTGCAACCACGAAATCCTTTCATCGCAGTGCCACTGCAAATACCAAAATTCCGGTACATATTTGGTAAGCAAGCCAAAGCCCATCAGTAATTTCTGATTGTGTCGATATCATTCGTATAATCGATCCAACACGGCGTCAACTTGGGGATGGTTTATTAACGAACAAAACCTACCCTACTAGCCACATCAAATACCCTTTCATCCTTTTCTCTTTCGTAGCATACCGCTTTCCTAACTGCTGATGCACCTTATTTCAATCAATTTCATTCCTTCTAAATATTGCTTTCGTACTATACAGTATACACACCAACGCCCAAAAGAGATGTAATACTGTGCGCATGGGGGGATTTACTGCAATTACAGGGTCGTCTAGGTGCAAACCCATGATTAAAGTGACATCGTGGAGCGTGGCCTTCATGTACTCCACTGCATGTGGAAACTGTTCGTCTTTGGTTGACACCTTTCCACGAACGCTAATATTAGGGCTTGATCGATATTGGGAAGGTGACAATCTCGTAAATGGTAAAACCCGATTGTCTCCATCCTAGCAATCATCATGTCATTCCGCGGGCCGCGGTACGTGGTGAGTGCTTTTCTTCTCGACTCGCA